TAAGTTGTTCTGCAAAGTCAGTTTGAGAGAGGAAGACTATTTCTAGATTAAAGTTATTTTATAATTTTTGGGGGTTTTTTTGAGTTGAAGTCTCACTCTGTCCCTCAGCCTGGAGTGCAATGGTGCAATCGTATTTCACCACAACCTTGACCTCCTGTGCTCAAGTGATCCTCTTGTCTCGACCTCCCAAATTGCTGGGATTACAGGCATGAGTACCACACCTAGCCCATTTTACAATTGTGAGGTGTAGAAAGCTGTGACAGTGTGGTTTCCAAAATGTGTCAAGTTTATCAGTGGAACTAATACTCAGGAAAGGTGAAGCAAAAGCCAAATGGTTCTCTTTTTGAAAAAGAGTTCCTGGATACCAAGCACTATTGAACAAAACCAGGCCACAGAGCCAGAGATGATGGAAGACCAAGTAATTCTACTTGGAAGACCAAGTAATTTTTTTTCATGCAAATAGGCTAAATAGACAGTTAGCTACCACTACCACCCCAGATTAGGTATATGTTCAGATGTTACGAATTCTGTGTGATAGAAGCGAAAAACTTCAAAACTAGAAGGAATATAGCAATCTCTTATTAAAAATTAAATAAAAATGGAAGACTTGATTTGATAAAGTTTAGACAAGTCCACACAGGCAAATTGGTAGTAGAACCCAAATCTGAGATTCGTAACTCCTTTTTTAAAACTTCATTTCAGGAGCTGTGATCTAATTCTTTAAGTTAAATTATAGAACTGAGACAGTTATTTCTCCTCCAGTCCTCCAAGATGTTTGTTTCCTGTTGGTTCTGTAATCATTACTTCTGATTCAAAAGGGGAAATTTTAAATTGCAATGAAGTAATTTTTAGATTTGCTGTTATCGGGGCTTCAGCACAACTTTCTGAAGATTATATCTGAGAGGCCAGCCTTTTTTCTCAGTTCTTAATCGCTTTTCTTTTAGGATGAATTTGAAGCACACCAATACAGATGAAATAATAATAGTAAAAGTGCCTGGGAATTTAAGAAGATATGGCAAATATGTCACACCACGCGGGCTTTGAATTTCACTTTCTAAATCATGTATCAAATTCAAGTATCCTGCTCTAAGTGTGGTCAAACATACAAATATTTGCTTTCTGAGTAATTTGCCCTAATGACTTTGAAGCATTTTTGAGGAACACTGGTGACATTGTTCTGCCCTGGCAGAAAGCATATCCCTTGTCAGATGTCCACAGAGATCCCAACTGTCTACGGGCACATTATTAAGGCATGGTGCTGCCCAGTATTTGTTAACCTTGCCTTCTACTTGACAGAATGTTATATATATAGGTTGTAACATCACCCAAGCTTTTGTGACAAACCTGTCTGGCAGCCACTGTTAGTTAACCATTAGGAGATAGAACTTGTTTAACTTCTGAATTAATGTCCTCTTCTGCAGACCTTCACACCTTTGTTTTTTATTTGCAAGTATCAGATCATTGGCAAAGTTTGGAGTGATCACAAAAAAGAACCTATTCATTAAAAATTCTGTTTTCACAGCTATGATATCTTCCAGGCTGATAATTTAAATCTGTTCAGTCAGAAAATAGGAAATTTCTGACTTCCCAGAATCATCAGGCATTTGTGTTTGTCTTTCTTTTGCCCTTTCTTGTTTGGGCATTTAGCTTCAGCAGTGGGGTCCAGGGATCACTATGTGGTATATTTGGGGCAGCCCTAATCATAGGAATAGGGATATTATATTCAACAGGGAGAAAATTTTTTTATGGGAGAAATAATGGGAAGATTTCCCTGATATGAAGAAAAGAGAAAGGGATAGAAGACCAATGGCTAGTCATTTAGAAAAAGTATCTTCCAAGACTTGTCAGCATGTTACTTTTTTTGGTTCAACTTTCAGTGTTTTTGTTTTTTACTTTTTTGTAAAAGGTGAAAGATTTATATGATCTGAAGAGAAACCAGAGTATGTTTTTTACTTTTTAACAAAGCACTCTAATTTCTTTTCTAGGAAAATTCACTCCAAATGGTGTTACTCTTTTTTTCAAAGACTAAAAAGGGTGTTTATTGCAAATCTGGAAAAGAAATTAAAGATTTGTTGTGTTTAAAGATGTTTGAAATTATTAAATCTATGACTGTTAATGTGAAAAAAGAGAAGTTTAGGCCAGTGTAGACCAGTTAACGATTGATTTTATAAATTGTACCCCTATCTGTGACTGCCTTTCATCCATTTACTTCACAAACATCCAGTACTAGTGTGCATATTTAAGTGTGTGAAGAGGTCGGTGAGAGAGAACAGGCACATCACGCAAAAGCTGATCGCAGTCCCAACCTCGTTCAAATCGATATTAGAACAAATAAAGGGGCTAACAAAGACTTACAGAAGAAAGTGAATTTTAATATCAGCTTTGAAGGAACAATGAACATGGTAGAGGAAAGGCATGCATGCTTGACTGAGGCAGAAGCAAATTCAGAGGCATGGCGGTCAAATGGGTAATGTATTAATGAGACAGAAAGATGCCAGGAAACAATTCGAGCTGTTAAAACACAGCAAAATTATTCATCTAGCACGTAGGGACATCTTCCCAATCTGCAGTGGTTAAATATTCCTTTTCCTTGTGTGAGTACAGTTTCAGATCTCACCTCCAGAATTAAGTGGGGAGACTAGAGATAATTTTTAGGGTTTGCACCCAGTGTTTTCAGTTGCATAATTCTGTATTAAAGATTCTGTTAAATTTTTACATTCTAAAACTCGTAAATCAATTCCAAAGGTTGTGGGGGGAGCACCTCTTTAAACAGCTGCAAAAATCTTGGTTTACATTCTTTTTGTTTGTTTGTTTGTTTATATTCTGAATAAAATATATCCTATATATTCAGGGAGAAGCACTCATTATAAGATTTTGTGGATCACAGACCTTCTCCAGGCTCTAAGAACCTTAGAGAAGACAACAGAAAAGCTAAAGTCACATCCTTCTATATCAGTTTGTAAACACATCATTAAGCATCATAGCTTACTTAATTTCTCCAGCACATGGTTAAAGTATGTGGAACATTTTAAAATAAATCACTGTATTATGATGAACTGTTAGTCTATGTAAAATTATTCAGGCAACATAAAAGGCTTTTCTTGATTTATCTCAGTCAAGAGTCTAACTTGTTATTGATATGAAAGCATTGTATTTATGAATACTTAAAGCTTTAATTTTGAAAATGTTTAGATTATATTTCTTTCTAACAAGAATAGAGAAACGTGTCCCCATCTTATTGTTGTCATGATATTTTTGCTTCAGTCAGTTTTTTTTTAATGGTTTCAAAAATATCTTCACCTATAGCTGGGCAGTTAAAATAATTTCACAGAATACTGATAATGCTCCTCAGGAACTGGTGTGTGGGTATAGGATCTTTATAGTAAGTAACATATTTAAGGCTCACACACTCTGGAATGAAGAGTTATTCAGAACCAGATTGGTAAAAAAGCAGTGTGGGGCCCTCTGGAAAGCAACAACCCAAAAATGTCTTTTTCAGATTTGAGTGTGTAGTTTTGCAAATTCAAATCTGAGAATGGTATTTCATAATGCCATTTTTATTTTTTTTAAATGACAAATTCTTTTTAGTTTTAAAAAATAGTGACAAATTGGAAAGTGAATTCTAGTCCTTCAAATATAGTGTGGTTAATTTCTTTTTTTTTTGAATTGGAGTCTTACTCTGTCGCCCAGACTGGAGTGCAGTGGCCGCTCCCGGCCACCGCAGCCTCGACCTGCTGGGCTCCGGCGATCCTTCCGCCTCAGCCTTCCCAGTAGCCGGAATTACAGGCATGCACTACCACGCCCAGCTGATTTTTTGATTTATTGTAGAGATGAGGTATCACTGCCCAGGCAGGTCTCGAACCCACGGGCTCAGGCAATCCACTCACCTCAGCCTCCCAAAGGTGCGAGATTACAGGCTGAGCCACCGAGCCCGGCTGGTTAATTTCTAAATATATTCTACATCCTGTTTTCCTCAAAAGATTGCTTCCAATTCAATATATTTTTGAATATTTAATATATAACATGTGAATAGATGATATAAAAACCAAACTCTGAACCCTTATTGAGTAACATATATACACATACAAAAAGAGCATACACACACACACACACACACACACACACACACACACATACACACACACATACAAAACAAATAACAAATAAGGAATGATAAGAGTATTATGCATATAATTATATATGTAAATATATACGTAGATATACATATATGTACGTATTACATATGTACATATATATATTTTTAAAGGAAACCCTAATGGGGAGAATAAAGTTTAATCCATAATAATCCATCAGAAAGCCTTGTTTTTTTCATAATTGGCTTCATACACATTTGCTGTGTTCATCTCAGTGGGAAACAATTTCTTTCAAATATCTGTAATATGATTTCAAAGATTGAATGGTGTTGAAAGCCTTCTTGATGATCTTTCTAAAGCTGGGGAAAACATCAAAATATTAGAAGCTAAAAAGAATGATAAATACATAAGAATGTTTGTTCTTTGTTACACAGTCATGAATAATGACAACCTGTACAAAATTTATAAAAACCAAAAATTTTATACCAGTGTCCAATGGATATTGCATGCTAAAAGGCTAACTCATTGTTTTCTGTAGATAACAATGAAAAAGAGAGTATATATGTAAACCAAGTAGATGCCACTTGGTTTAAGTAATAACAGAAATAATTTTTATCTGTTCTGCTGATAAAGCAGAGTCACTAACAGATTTAGTGTTTTGTGTGAATTGAAAGACAGAGTGGAGAGAAATCAAAGGAGTAAAAGGCATTCATTGGATAATGCAAAAATTCTCATATGTAGAGACATTTTGCACAGCAGGAACTTAAGTCCACGTGTAAGGCAGGCTGCTTGCATGGTGAAAAACAAAACAACACCGCCCCCTCCCCTCTCTTGGTTGGCCTCACCCCCCTCACTCCATTGACATGCATAGCTGGCCTGGTAGGTGTAAAAATAGACTGGCAGCGCCTGAACTGGAAATGGTCACTGAATGCAGCCTGCAGTTGCCGGGGTTTTGAGTTCTCTCTGACACCAGCAAACCAGCAGATGGAGAAAACTGGTGAGGGGCGTTTAGGGGAACTGAACAGAGGAGCCCAGGATCATCTTGATGAATTGCCCACATTAGTGTACCCCTGGGAGCCCTGGACAGAGTGCAGAGGGCAAGGACAGGCTTACTGACAGCAGGAACTGTAGAGCTGAGATGGGGAACGCAGCTCTCTGCTCATCTTGCCATGCGGATAAGAGCATAAGAGCACAAGGAAACATGCAGGAATTGGATAAAGCCCCAGACTACTATGGCTGTAACGGTGAAGACGTCAAAGAACCTGGGGTGCGGGTAAGTTTTAGGCCACAAACCAGGGGGAAGCGAGGATGGTGGCATAAGAATCAGCAATAGCCCTCATTGGTCAAGCCTCTAGACTTCCTGGAAGGAAGTTGATAGAATAAAACCAGTGTGATCAAACCACCTGACCACCCTGGTTCAGCGGCATGCTGTTGCTTCTTCTTAATGCCACACAATGCCACTTGTTTGTTTCTTCTCAGTTGTCTCTGACTATGAACTGACAGTTGGGAATGGGCAATGACATTGTCTCTTTAATGTGAAATTTTGTCCAAAAGTGAACATGTATATTATTATATTGTTATAGAGTGACTTTCAGCAATGTTGCAGAGATTCACTTACATTTAGGCTGTCAAGTTCTCTTGCTTATTTATATATTCATGGATAGTTAATTTTTTACTAGGTTCCAGAGCATTTTTTAAAGTATATACTAACTTAGAATCCCAGTTCCAGCCTATAAAGATGTGTTACTTCCAATGCTTGACTAACGTCGATGAAAAGACCTTTAAATATTGTTCTGATAATAATAATAGTTTGTGAGAAGGTTTAAGAATAGAGCAATCACATATTTAAGTTGACTTTCAGATTTTAATAATTCATAGGCATGTTGTGTTCCTTAAAATGGGTACAAAGGCTTATTGTGACTTTGTGTGTGTGTGTGTGTGTGTGTGTGTGTGTGTGTGACCAGGAATCTCTTTCTGAAATATTTTCATATTTGCTGGAGAATAAAGTTTATCTTTGATCTGTCAGATCCAGGAATTTGACCTTATTGTGAGTTATTTATTTCAGTCTGAAACCACGAAACTAGGATATGTAGGATTTCTGAGTAAGAGAAGCAGAGGCGTTTGTACTTGTTATGTGCTTGCCGGGTGGTTCCTGGAGTGAGAACAGAGTCTGAGGCATGGGAGGTGGTGCCCTCGTCTCTGGCTTTTATTCTGAACTGGATGAATTTCATCATTTCTTAGCTTTAAAGTTCTGTCAGACCAGAGTGAAACTGAAACCAAAACTAAGAATTTGTCAATAAACACAACCTGCAGATCAAATATTTGCAGTTTGCAGTGAAGGGGAAGTGAAAAAGAGGACAGTGATTCTGGAATGGAAGTCACCACAGTCAAGGAAGAAACAGAAAGCAATCCCTGGAGAAGGGAGTCACCTGCTTTGACAAGTGCACACATGAGGTTTGTAACCGTGAGCAGTCACATTTGTCCCTCTGGATTATGGTTTATATCACTCACATCCACCGGGAGAGCCACTGCAGTTCTCAGAGTGGTCACTTCTAATGCAGCTTTCTGAACTGGGGGGGGCAAAAAAGGTGAATAGTAACTCTACATGTTTGTGTTGTTGCAGTATAAAAATTTGTTCTCTAAGAACTAATAATCTACTTTAAAAGGTCGTTTCTGTGTCCATTAATATTTGTTATTAATTTAGAATTTAGACAATGCTTTTAAATGTTAGTTAATTTATTCAGTCTTTTAAATTATACAAATATACATTTTTTCACCTTTTAAAGATTATTAAGGAAAATGTAACACATGCAAAGAAATGAGAGGTGCCTTAAGAGTTTAATATATAAAAGTATATGTTGTAGATGTAGAGGACAGAAGTGATGATATCTTGATGAGTTCATAGGTTCTTTTCAATAAAGAAGAACAAGTGTCAATGTGATATTGAGGCCCAAGGATTGTAGGGAAAAAATCATTTAAAACTTAACATTTCAGAAAACGATTCAAAATAAATATTCAGCAGTAATATCATTGCCTTGTTAACATCTTTCTATCTCTATTAACATAGGTATTGACCCTGAAAAACATAAGTTGATTTTTAAAAAGATACAATCTGATGTCTCTGGATTAATTAATATATATATAACCGGTTAGTCATTAAATAAAATCTTCTGCTAAAGATTTTCTAGATTGAAGCATATAATGATTGTTGAGTCAAAGAAAAGATATGGCAAAGGTTGAAATGGACCTATTCTCTACTGCTGAAGTAATATTTTGCTCAGAATTTCTCCACTTTTGTCCATGGGGTCCCCAAAAAGTTAATTTTTAACTTAATGCCAATAATGGTTTAAGCAGAATAGGTGGTTCTAGATAGTTTGGGAAACTCAAGTAATCTATCATCTTTCTATACTTTTAAATGGGTATTATAGGACTGAAGTCACTCACTCCCTAAATCATCTAAATAAATGCATTGCTTCATTATTCACTTCGCAGCATTCATGCTTGTCACAATTAATGTTAAATAATTAAGAGTTTCAAAACATTTATTTATAATATTCTTTGCTTCAGGAGGGAAAACAGAAATAGAGATCTTGGCATTTTTTAGAGTTTGTTGTGTTGTTGAACCAACAGTTTCAAATAAATAAACTTTCCAGTTTTACTCATAGTCAGAATTAAGCTAATGAAAAACACAAATTTAAGATACTAAAACTATTTGATTTCGTGTAAATTAATATTCCTTTATTTTCCATAAGTTTTGTTTAAAGTTTAGAATATTTTGACTTTATTTATATAGATAAGTACAGCAGTAAGAAAAAAAAACAGGAATTGTGTTGGAAATAAGCAAACAATATAATTATTCCTTCAACAATATTATTGTATATCCATATCTGAAATTTCACATATAGGTCTTAAGAAGAATAAAGCAAATTGGTCCAGAATAATTTCCAGCTATGCTGTATGTCTAAATACAGAAATTATACAAAAATAATGATAGAATATGAAACAAAATATTATTTTGACAGTAGAATAAATTTTATTTTAAAGCAAATTTAAAAAGTATAGTGAAAAATCATGAACTATTATGTTATAAACAATTTAAAGTTATAAATATGGAAAAATAATATATTATTTCTATAATGTATGTTCAAATTCCAGAGTGGAGTTCATCAAACTCCTTATGCAAATGACCAAAGAATGAATATAATACACTTGTGTGGGCCACATGGCCTGTGTTGTAGTTGCTTATCTCTGATAATTATAGAACAAAAGTAGCCATAGAAACAGTTAAACAAATGGGCCTGACTCTATTCCAGTAATTACTAAATTTTCCTATTACTAAATTTTCAGTTTCTAAATTGTTCAATTACTAAACTACCAGCTAATAATTTCAGTTACTATTTTTTAATTTGTAAATAAATAAATTAAAGCAAGTTATTATTTATTTGACTTACTAAGTATATAAAACATAAGAATATTCCAGTCTTGGAAGACTTCATTTTGACTGATGAGCATTCCTGGGCATGCTATAAATTGTTCCAATTATTTGGAAAACAATTTGGAAATACATTACAAAATTTGGTTATGATATTTATTTTTCACTTTGTCAATGCAATAAGGACTCTAGTCACAGCGAGGTATTTGTGTGGAGGAAAAAGAATAGACAAACCTCCTGAACACCTCCAACACCAGATAATTGGGCTGGACAGGATCCTGGTCTATCAATGGTGGATATCCCCAAACCTATCCCTCACTCACTCAAACCCTCAAGGGCTGGAGAGAACTCTGATACCCAGAGAACTTATTCCTAATCCACTGAGAAAATGTCTGCCTTCCTAATGAAAATGTAAGACTCACAAGCATATGTTAGGATTTTCCTCTGAAATAAGGTTGCTTCTTATATTAATCCTAAAAGGACTCAAAGATCTGTTAGTATCACAGTTGGCTTGGCAACTAAAAAAGAGGAACCTTGAAGGGCAGGAGAGAGTCGAGAACAAAATTCAGCTGTTCTAAAATTTTTATTCAATTCTGGTAGCGCTTCTAAATTTTAAGTCACAGGGGGGAAAACTGCATCATCTCTCATTTTCCATTTTCATTTATGCAGATGACTGGTAGATATAGTCCAAGTTCAAGTGTGAAAGAAGCAGCTCTCAGAGATGCTTATAGACTTTGCCTGGATCCTAGGGTACCTTTGTCTGGGACATGAGTTAGTAAGGTTTTGCAGGGTCCAAGTAGGCTCCAGAGAGAGGGATTCTTGACCATGCTTTGCTAAAGTGAAATTTCAAGCAGTATCAGAAATATATTTTTATTTTATGTTCTGCTTTGGCTTGTACTTTATTACATCATATATAAAGTTGCATTTTGGTCCGAGTATGCTCTATATTTTTCTGGCATTGAGATTATGTGTTTTTATTGTAGTTCTTTTATCATAACAAATTAATTTGCTTTGTCCCAAGAGCAAAACCATAAATGTGATGCGTCATCACAGACATTACTTAGGTTATCTATCCAAGCTGATTTTCATATTATCACATCCTTCTCTTTTTATCAGTTTATGCTCAGAGATTTTTATTTTATTGCTTTGTTTATTTCAAGATTTTTTTCCCCAATTGTAGTAGAGAATTTTAAGTTCTTTGTATCAGCTTTTTCATTATTTTATAAATGTTCTTATTACTTTAGACCATGAGTAGTGAATACTGGTGTTATTATGAAAACAACTCTGTTCTTCTTTGTTAGCTTACTCAAAAGATAATGTCAATCAGCAAATACTTATTGAGCTAGATATAGTTTTAAATGCTAGCCATATAAAAGTGATGCTAGAGTTCTTGTCATGGGGAGACAGGCTTTCAATATCTATGGAGGGATGAGGAAGCATGCTGCCTAGCCGAGCAAGGAATGTGTTGGGCCTGTTTAAGAGACAGGACAGCGTGATTGAAACACAGTGAACAAAGAAGAGAATGATGGCAATGAGATATGAGAGATCATTAGGGGCCTACTTGACAAAAATGTGTTCTTTCTGAATGCAGTGGGTCTTTGGAAAGGATTTTGGATTCTGTTTGAAGTATAGCTGGAAGCCTCTGGAGGGTTCTAGACAGGGAAATGGTAGGACTTCATTTATGCTTCCAAAAGATCTATCTTTTCCTCTCCCTTTTCTTTCTCTCTTTGATGGAAGCTAAATTGTGAGTAAAGCAAAAGAAGAAGAAGGAGGACCAATGTAACTGGTCTCAGGGTGGAGGCGACCAGTTGATGGAGGATTGGATTAGGGTGCTAACAATA